GTTCGAGTCCTGCATGTTCCGTCTCGGCATAACTTTTCAGACATATTTACTAAAGGCCTACCGCGGGTTTTATTTGAGGATTTCCGCTCCAGTCTAAGCTTACRAGATCCTCCACCTTAGACTGAGGAGGTGTATTAGACTAGGTTATACGTTAATGTAATTATGAATAGTTAGAGGTATCTAAATGTAATTTATATTATTATATAATGAGATCAATGAGAAGGGGAAAACCCATGATTCACACTCTATCAAGAACAAGGTTCGTTAAGCAACTTTGTTGGCCCTGACATTCCGCGGTTTTAAGTCTTAATCTGGGTACTTTTCTGTTCCATATGCAGGTCTGATCGATGAATATGATTCTCCAACAAAGTTGCTGGAAGATCAATCATCTTCGTTCGCAAAGCTCGTTGCTGAGTATAGTATCAGATCGAATTCCAGTTTTGAAAACTTAGCAGCAACATAACATTTTGGTGGTAATGGTGAGTGAATAAGCTGTTTGTACCATTAAGCTCGTTACGCTGCAAATAAAAGCCCCTAACCTGACTTAAACTGTGGGTGGGTCTGATTTTCTTCGGCTTGAGGAACTTGGTGCACCATTTGGTTTGTTAGAAGTTGTGTTAAGCTTAAGATGCTATTTTCCATTTGGTCTTATTGAAGTTGTCTGTGGTCTTATGTTGTAAATTAAGCTGTTGTCCAAGCAGAAGAGAGTTGGGTATTGTATTCAAAGGCGAGATCTCTCAAATCGAGAAGAAATCCCAGCCCCAACAAATCACACGTTTTCGTATTCTCTTAAATAGTAATTAACATTCTCATTTGATTCCGCAAGAACCATTATTAGTTTATGGCAAAATGACGTGTGTTTAATCAAAATTAAATAATGAGGGTCGGATTGTATTTTTTATAATTGAAGGACTCCATAAAAATTAAAAATCTGTTGTTACAAATTTCCCTGCCTCCTTTTTGTCTAACAGTAGTTATTACACTTTTTAATTAACAAAAGGACAATTTTACCTTTAGTTAGAGAATTTTTTTTTCCATTTCATAATTAAGGGCATAATGGGAAATTAACCATTTACCTTTGAAAGTGGACAATTATTTTGGGAAAACTGAAACATTAACGTAGACACTTAGGGAGGCGTTTAGTTGGGGGTATCAAGGGGCAAAGACTAAGAATGGCAAGATCAACATTATAACTTACTTTTTACATTTTCAATGTATAATTTAATTGATTTTGATATTAATAAAGGGGTTTTCTAACCCCACCCCCTCCTATCTCTTTTCCCCTACATTTTCTACACCCCCACCTATATAATACATTAAAATAATTAAATTTTATTTATTTTATTTTTCAATTTTAATCCTTTAATACTTTTAGTTTTCATCCTTCAACTTTTTAATTACTTTTCGATTATACCCCTAGATATAAAACATTATAGTTACCGAGAATGGAGAGAACTGGAGTGTGGGTCAACGGCAGTTGGTGTGTCTCGGGCGTGTGCTACTCAAGAAAACCAANCCTTGATATTTTTAGTTTCAACCCTTCAATTTTTTAAATACTTTTTCTATTATATTCTTTACGTTTTTTTTATCCAATATATTATAATTACATATATTAATTAACTTTATATTATTACTAATTAATAAAGTATTAAAAATATGTATTTTTTAAATAATATATTTGTATATGAATTTTTTTTAATATTTATACTTTATATCTTTATAAAAATTTATTATATTTATTTACTTCTTTATTTTTTATTTTATACCCTTATGATATTTATATAATTACAGTTCCATAATTAAATAAAACGATGTTCAATATTTGGTTCATTTTGAAGTTATTGACAAGACGATTACGATGATGTAACTTATTAAAATATAAACATATTTTTAATAGGAATGGCAACGGGCCGGGTATTGGTATCCCTGTCCCCGAAACCGATAGCTAAAACCGTCCTTATAACCGTCCCGAATCCCCCTCAGGGATCTTATCGGGATCCCCATCGGATCCCCGATCCCCGTTGGGGAACCCATTAAGGGTAAAAATTCTCTTTTTCATCGTTGGTTATAACCAAACCCGAACCCGAAAATGATATGGAAAAAATTACAATATGTTAATAAATATATATATATATATATACACATATCGGGCCGGGCCGGTGCCCCCGTCCCCATTAAAATCCCCCGATCCCCGCCCCGTTATTGAAAATACGATTATAATAATATAATTAAATCAAATAATATTCATTATTAGGTTCATTTCAAAAAGATTGACGAGACGATTTTAATGGTGCAATTTGTTAAAATAAAAAGTATATTAATAAATGAGTATGTAAGATGAACAAGATGAAGAAAGGATATGAAAATGCTTCCTAAGAGGTTAAAATTAAATAAATAGCTATAAAAATATAGCTATTTATTTAAATAAATAGCTATAAAAAATTATGTATTTTAATGTGATAATGATGTAAAAATAAATGATATATCATAAATTAAATAAATAGCTATAAAAATATAAATCGTAAATAATAAAAATATTTTTTTCACAGTGTATATAATATATAATAATATAATTAACTCAAAAACTATTCAATATTGGACTCATTTCGAAGGTATTAACGAGACGATTATAATGGTGTAACTTGTTAAAATAAAAATGTATTTTTTAAATATGTTTTAGTTGATGTATGGTTATGTATGTTAATTTAATAAAGGTGCAAAATGAAAAATTTAAAAGTAAAGGGTATAAAGTAAATTAATTAAATAATTATAGGGGTATAAAGTATAATTTAAAATTATAATATTAAATAAATTGATTGAATGTGAGAGGGGTTGAATGTGAGAGGGGTTGAATGTGAGAGGGAGGGGGTGAAAAGGTGACGTAAGGGGGTGGGGATATCAACCCCCTTAATAAATGTACATGAAACAAGACTATGGCACAATCAGCAGATGGAGCGGAAGGCAAAAAAGACTAACTGCTACTGGTTAATGCGAAAGGAATCTTATGGGTTCCTTTTGTTTAAGTAAATAAGAGTCTTTTGTGTCCCCACCCATTTCCTTGCATTCATTTGGCTTAAATTTCCCCGTCAGAGATGTCATCAAGACACGGTCTCTTTGATTACTGCCAAAGTCACACCCACACCCACACCCACACCCACACCCACACCCACACCTAATCTAATAAGGTGTTTCGCCGGAAAAGGGTTTAGAATACCTTCAATGGCATCTTCTTCAACCTCATACAATATTCAAAAGAGCAGCTTTACGTATGATGTGTTTTTGAGTTTTAGAGGTAAAGACACTCGTAGGACATTCGTTGATCATCTCTATTTGGCTCTGCAGCAGAAAAGCATTCACACTTTCAAAGATGACGAGAGAATCGAGAAAGGGAAAAGGATCAGTAGGGAGCTCATTGATGCCATTGAAGACTCAAGATTCTACATTATTGTTTTCTCCAAGAACTATGCATCTTCATCTTGGTGCTTGAACGAGCTTGTAAAGATTATGGAGTGTCAGAAGATGACTCAACATACTGCTTACCCTGTCTTCTATGATGTCGAACCCTCCGAAGTCCGTACACAAAGTGGTGCAGTTGGTGAAGCCTTTGCAAAGCATAAAAAGAAAAAGGCCACTGAGAAATGGAGAGAGGCTCTAAAACAAGCAGCCAATCTTTCTGGGTTTGGGTTGAAGAACACTGCTGATGGGTAATTCCTTCATCATATGTTTCCAATATTCTTTCATTTTGTTTCTTTCTAATCTACGATTGCCCTCCTATGTAAGAGGGTCATCCATGGCATCTCATGTTGTGTTGTCAAGTTTTACCCAATCTTGAGTCTTGTCAATGATTGGACATGGAATATGACTATCTTATATATTGCTTCATGTACATATGTATTTTATATACTTGTATATCTGAAATTAATTGTTCTTGTGGGACTTTGAGCAAGCTAATTGAATCCTTTTAGATATACAGGCATGAAGCTAAATTTATCCAAAAAATTGTTGAAGGGATCTCACTAGAGTTACGCTCCATCAATTTCTGCGTTGATGAAAAACTAATAGGCATGGGGACTCGGATAAGAGATGTTGTTTCATCTTTGGACTTGGAATCTGCTGATGTTCGGATGATAGGAATCAAGGGGATTGGAGGTGGTGGGAAGACAACTTTGGCCAGAGCTGTTTTTGATCAAATCTCCATTTGTTTCCAAGGTAAAAGCTTTGTTGAGAATGTTAGGGAAGTCTCAAAAGCCTCGTTGTTTGGTTTGAAGTTGTTGCAAAAGCAAGTCCTTTCAGATGTTTTAAATGATCAAGGCATCACCATAAGTAATGTCTTTGAAGGAAAAAACATGATGAAAAAGGTGATGTGTGGTAGAAAGGTTCTTCTTGTTCTAGATGATGTGGATCATATAGACCAACTTGATGCGTTAGCTGGTGAGCCTAAATGGTTTAAGCCGGGAAGTAGAATTATCATTACAACAAGAGATGAACAAGTGTTGGTAGCACGTGTGAACTTGATTCGTGATATCAATTTGTTATCGAATAGGGAGGCAATTTGCCTCTTGAGTAGGTATGCATTTGGACGAGAGATTCCAATTCAAGGGTATGAAGAGCTATCAGGACAGGTTGTACGTTATGCTGCTGGTCTTCCCTTAACAATAAGAGTGTTGGGTTCGTTTCTATGCGGTAAAAACGAGCTTGAATGGAAAGATGCCCTAGAAAGACTAAAAACAATTCCTTTGAAGGAAACTTTGGAAAAATTGAAATTAAGCTATATCAGTCTAGAAGAGGATTACAAGGAAATATTTCTAGATGCTGCATGCATACTGAAAGATTGGGGGAAAGACGAAGCAATCCGAGTGCTTGAAAGCTGTGGATTTCATGCTAGAAATGGTTTAAAAGTTCTTGAGCAAAAATCTCTCATAACTATTTTTAAATCTGGACGCTTGGGGATGCATGATCATATAGAAGAAATGGGCCGGAATATTGTTCGTTGTTTGCACCCTGATGAGCCTTACAGACATAGCCGATTGTGGATTGACGAGGAAATTAAAGATGTGCTGGCTAATGATTTGGTAAGGATCAATCTATTTTATTGTAAGGTTGAGAACAATAAGGGGCCATTTACCAACGCTAGGCAAATGCTAGCTTACTGTGTAAGAGTCACCACCCTCAAACCCTTAACAGGTGAGCATGACAGGGACCAAGAATATTATCCAGTACGGTGAGGGTGGTGACTTTTGCTCGGGTAGCGCCTACAGGATAAGAGATGATTACCAACAATCACTATATGCCATGTGGATAACCGAGAATCTTACTTGGTATTGTAAGTGAGGGTAGCAACTCTGACCCGGTTGGCGTCGGTAAACGGCTCCTAACACATTTCCATTTGTTATGACCGATTTCCTGGTTACCGCTTTTGGATTCCAGGGAACTAATGAAGAAACAAAATGTATAAAACTGAAGTTGGGGCAACTTGATCCAGAATTTGTTATGAAAGGCCTTGGAAACATGAAGAAACTTAGATTCCTTCACATGTCTTCTCATGCCGATGAACGTAGCAGTTGGGAGTTTGATGAAGTTAGCCAATATTTTCCAAATGCTTTACGATATCTGAGTTGGGGCTATTACCCTTTTTGCTCTTTACCCAACACATTTCAAGCTAACATTCTTGTTACACTTGAATTGCGTCACAACAAAATTGTACAACTTTGGAAAGGGGAAGAAAGAAAGGTAAAATTTTGCATGATTCACTATATATAATGTTATACATATACTTGTTTGTTACAACACTTACATTCCTTTTTGTTTCTTTTCTTACTGAAAGGTTCTTCACAAGCTCAGATTCCTTGATCTCAGTTATTCGAAGTTAAAAACCTTCGACCTTGGGCTGACTCCAAATCTCGAGACTTTAATTCTTGATCATTGTGAGAATTTGATAGAAATTCACATTTCCATCCCGTGTTTAAAGCTCATATCCTTCAAAGTCACTTTCTCTAAGCTGAGAACCCTTAATCTTAGGCCGACTCCGAATCTCAAGACATTATATGTTAAGAAAGCGACTGATTCTCTACAACTTCACATGCCTGTTGAATGTCTAAAGCTCAAATACATCTACCTTCGGCGTGTAAAGTGGATGACCCCTGACCTGCGACATACTCCAAATCTTGAGACATTAAAGCTTGTGGATTGTGTTGATTTGGTAGAACTTCTCATGCCTGTTGAATGTCCAAAGCTCATATCCCTCGAACTCACTCATTTTGAGTTGAGAACCCTTGATCTTGGGCTGATTCCGAATCTCAAGACATTATATGTTCAAAAATGGAATGATTTTGTAGAGCTTAACATTCCTGTTGAATGTCTAAAGCTCGAATACCTCAACCTCCGATGCGTAAAGTGGATGACCCTTGACCTAGGACGAACTCCAAATCTCAAGACATTAGAACTTGTAAATTGTGTTGATTTGGTAGAACTTCACATGCCCGTTGAACGTCCAAAGCTCATATCCCTTGAACTCACTCATTCTAAGTTGAGGACCCTTGATCTTAGGCGAATTCCGAATCTTGAGAAGCTAAGTCTCAGAAGATGTCATGATTTGGTTGAACTTCAAATGCCCATTGAATGTCTAAATCTCATAACCCTTGATCTTAGTCATTCAAAGGTGAGGACACTTGATTTGGGGCCGACTCCAAATCTCAAGAATTTATATCTTAGAAACTGTTATCATTTGGTAGAACTTCATGTTCCTGTTGGGGGTCTAAAAAATCTTTCCATCTTAGGATTAAGTGGTTGTTTTGGTTTTACTAGTTTTGACTATACGAAAAAATTTAGATGTTTTAAGTTTGGATATCTTGAGGTTGGTTCCTTAGCGGAGTTCCATCTGAGGGCAGAGCTCCTAGATATATGCCCGTTGCACTCCAAATGTACTTTTCCGAAGTTTCAATTTACATGTTTCTTTGAAGAAGTTGTACCCTCATTGATTGGAAATCCAGAGAATACATCTATAGGCCTTCGTGCTTGCGCAAACCTTATTAGTTTATCTCGACGCATTTGTGGTTTACAATGTGTCACAAAGCTTACACTCGAGTTTAGCATTCAAGAGGCGCCCAAGTACCTTGACCGGATAGAGTGTCTAGAGAAGCTAAGTTTATCGTTTACAGATATTAAACATCTTCCAGACAGCATTTGTATGTTGAGACATCTGAAAATTCTTAGACTTGAAGATTGTAAGCTTCTTGAGAAGTTATCAGAGGATCTTGGCCAATTAGAATGTTTAGAGGTTCTATGGCTACAGGGGTGTACAAGTTTACAAGGTATTCCGAACAACATCTGTAATATGAAACGTCTAGAATATCTTAATCTCAATGGTTGTATTCTAGTTGAGAATCTTCCTGAGGAACTTGGATGTATAGAATGCTTACAAGACTTAGACATAGAAGGTACAAGCGTACGTCATCTTCCGTTTAGCATTGTTCTGTTGGAAGGTCTGCATATTAAGGGGTCTACATTGCTTCACCAGTCATGTACTTTTTCACGCGATAGAGAAGAATCAGTCTACGACACGTTCTACCACAGAGGCACCCAAAGCAAGAGTCTCCTCCGTGACCCTGATCTTTGGCTTCGAAGAACGACTATAGAGGTACTTTCTCCATTTTTCTATTTATCATCTTACTATGTTTTCAATTTTTAAATTGACTAGTTGGATACAAACGCAATGCGGCGGGATGCCAATTTTTTTTGTAAATCCAAGGTATGAAGTTTATGATCATTATAAACTTCAAATTTATAACGGTTGACTCACCAGAGATTTGGAAAGAAAATTGCCAGATCAATGAATTTCCAAACACACATCAATTGTTATTCTTAGAGTGTTTAATAATGGTTTTCACTTGATGCAACTCATGATTAACAAAAAAAACCAAAATTTATGTTTAAACAAAATGGAGATATGATCATCTATAATAATATAAATCGATACATACGGAGTATGATAAGATACCACTTGAAGCATCCATATGTAGACATGTTCTGTAAGAAATGTCTTATGATTATAATAGATACATACCAAGCGTAGTTGTAAAAAAATGTGCAATAATAAGTAGTTAATCGCGTAAAAATTCTTGATACATTACATTTGATGTGTAGATGATTGAATTTTTTGGCAGACTTTACTAATACCTTTGTATTTTCACGTCCTTGATAACGCCACATATTGTCTGTGCGAGAATACTGATTCTGGAAGATACACACCTACATTAGGAATGGTCTGTCCTTGAGCTTTATTGATTGTCATAGAAAAGCTAAGCCGGACTGGAAATTGTTTTCTCTTCAATTTGAAGGGAACATGTTATCTTCAGATGGACAAAGAGGAATTCTCGACAAAATCTTTTTTGCCAAAAATAATAATTATATTTATAAAACTTGAGTATAAACACGAGAAGAATGTTATATACATAGGGTCGGGTTTAGGGAGAAAGTTGCGGAAAAAAAAATGAAAAACTAGGGAACACCCTTATAACCATTCATCTGAGAAGTATCCACATGTACATAACATGCATAGAAACCAGGAAACATCTTCAATTACTTGTATGCATATTTGCATACAGATGAATGGTTAATTATTAGGGTCTGTTTCTTTTTGGTGTGCATAGGCTCATGCATTTTGCTTCTAAAGTGTTGTATTCATATCATAGCAGCTTGATGCTTGTTTCTGAAAGACGTTTACGGGAGGTGAACTACTAGTTTCCATTGGCAGAGATGAGAACAACTACACGTGGCTTGGGGGCGATGGTTGAATTTGAGAATTCGTCATGGAATGATGCATATCGATCTAAAGAGAACGAGAGGTTAAAACTTAAAGATTCTTTCTGATCCACACCCACAAAATCTTGAAAGACGCCTGCAGTTCGGCTCATAGAACTAGAAATCTAAATTCATCTCAAGTTGGGTGCAAATGGATGCTGGTTCATATTTCTTGTATTGTGGTCACACAGAAGGCGTAACTGTGTTTGTCGCAGTCGGACTACAAAGCGTAGTATGTAGAATTTTGAAAACAATAAGTAAATTTGAATTATACCCATTAATGGTAGCTTTAGGATCTTCATATGTCTAAAGTGTTATGAATTGATTTGGCCAAAAAGGCCAACTCATTTTGCAGCCCAGAGAGGCTTTCCCTTTGATAAAAAAAAAAATCAGTGTTTTTCTGCGTTTGACATACTCCCACTGTTGTATAAATGTGTTTAGCTGGTGGTTCAATTTGTTTCACATCACTAACATACTTTTGCAACAAAAAGAAAACCGTCATTAAAATTATCTCACAAATTCTGTGTACTACAACAAAACTGGGTTTATAGGACGCCTTCAATCTCTAAGCGTCCCAATACACCGCTTTATAGAACTTAATATATATGATCAAAATATAAAGCGCCCTATCTAAAGGCGTTGTAATAAGTTTATATGACGCTTTTGGGCGTCTTAACAGGTTTTTAGGACGTTTTTAGTACAGAGCGTCGCATTAGCAACTTTATAGGACATTTTTTAAAAAGTGTCCTATAATTAAATTTTTTTTATAAGACACTTGTTTTTATAGGACAGTTTTTCAGATGGTATTGTATAAAGTTGTTAATGGGACGCTTTTATACTAAAAGTGTCCTAAAAAACTTATACGGCGTTAAAAAACGTCATATAAACTTATTACAATGTTTTTAGATAGGACACTTTATGTTTTGGTCCTATAAACTAAATCCTATAAAGAGGTCTGTTTGGACGCTTAGAAATTGGGAGCGTCCTATAAACCCGAGTTTGTTGTAGTGGTGGTTGATTGACGAGGGCCTTGGTGTGGAGGACCAGGCCTTGGTAGTCTGTTTTAGTCCCATGATTAGCCGATTTGAAGCTTAAACGAGGAGCACGCCCTGGGTAGATAGATGTTTACCAAAATGTTTGGATCAGATATGATTGAAAATTTCAAAATCCAATTTGGATCGGTCGGTTCTCGGATGCAGGCCCGTTTCTAATATTTTTAGGCCCTGGGCGAACATAAAAACAGGCTTCCACTGCAAGAAATAAGGCTTTTAGCAACGACTTTTGTTGTCTCTAAAAGTTCGTTTATCATTAGAAAGAGTATATAACAACAACATGTCATCGCTATAACTTATGAAACATGTCATCGTTAAAAGACTCATCGTCAAAGCTCACTTTTCTTGTAGTGACATTCGGTAATAAATTTTTTCATTAGAATAAAATTGAGTACAAGAAATACTAATAATTTATTGAGTAAAAAAATCTTATTTATCTATATTATAGATATATAAGAGAGTACTTAAATGTACGTACTTCTTATTATGTAATTTTAAACCAAGAGTATAGAAACTATGTTTGATAATTTTTTATAAAAAGTAAGATTTTTTTTTATAGAAACTATGTGTTATTTTGATACAAAAAAAGATTTCGTGTTAATGAAATAATCATGAGGTCAATGAGAGATCAATAATAAAGAAGATTATCAAGGTTTTCTAGACAAGTAGACAAATGAAGATTAATAAGAATATGAAAGAAAAGATGATCCATTGAGATCTAGTAAAAATAAATAATGAATTAAACATATAATATGCAAGTTCAACAAATGAATGTTTGAGCACTTAAATAGAATCTTGTGGTGTGGTGGAATCTCAATGAAAGATACATAAGTCAAACAATTGATGAAAATATTTAAATTCTACTTTCCTTCTTTTTTTGCTCAACTAAAATAAGATGTTAATATTAAAAGTTTATGGAACATAACATATATAAGAGACATTACTAAATACATCTGTTAATCACAAAATCATGAAACACGTCATAAACCATAAGAACAATAGATTAATTGTAAAAAAAGTAAAATATTTTATGTAGAAGCAAAAATAGATAACAATAGTCAACAAAAACAATTAGAAGAATATAACCAAATATCAATAGTCAATAAAAATAGAAATTGATAAAAATATCTAACAAAAATATATAGCAATATCAAGCACATGATCTTAACGTTGAATTGGTGAAACACGAAAATGGTCAAGTATATAGAGATAGCAATAGCCAATATCATTGGACCTTGTTGGAGATAAAAAAAAATTATAGGGACAATAAACAATAGCATATAATGAATGATCAATTAATTTTTTTTTCTTCTTCAATGTAATTAGTTGATATATTTTTGGGCCCTTATTATCTACTAAATTATTTTTGTTTCTTATTATATGCTACAATTTTTTGGTTTTTTTAATTTATTAAATTATTTTAGACTACTATATATTTTAAGGGGAAAATTTGGGCCCCTTATATTTTTGGGCCCTGGGTGTGCGCCCGTGCCGCCCTCCCCCAAGGACGGCCCAGTCGGATGGCAGTCTAGAACCGTTCAAAACCAAAACCAATCATTATCCAATTAATCATCAAATTCTCTATCCAACCATTATCCAATTATTTTATTTTCAAATTGCTTAAATCGGAATTTGTTTTATGCGAGACTTTGAATTTTTAACTTCCCTTATATTAGTTTTAACACATATTAAAAGTGATTAATTAGTATCGTTGTTAGAGAATTAGATTGAATTAACATACTTGATGGATTTAATCCAATAGGAATATCCAATGGATGATATGGAACCAAACCGATCCAACCATCCATTGGATCGGATCAGATCAATTATCCAATGTTAATCAGATCAAATCGATTGACAAAATCCAACATTAATGAATGATTGGATCGGTTCAATTCCCCTTCACATCCAATAAATATCAACCGATTATCAGACCAATGATTTACTATAATTATTTATGAGGTGATTTTGGTGGTCAATGGTCTCTTTAATTTATAGTCTTTAAATATAAAAATGGAAAAAAAAAAAAAAAAAAAGAGAGAAAACGTCAAATATGCGTAAGGAACAAGAAAAATAGTGGGAAATGGGAATGGAATTTCCTCTAAATCGACAAAAATCCATCTTATCCTGTAATCCCCCTTTTTCCAAAAAGTAGTCCCCATGTTTCCACAAATATAAATGTTTTTTATTAACGGTATCGTAGTCTTTGACCTCTTAAAAGATAAGAGATTTAAACCTCATTAAAAGTGAGAATGGTGTGTAAGTTTATTTGTTGCATTTGTCGTATATAAATATTATATGCTTCAAAAAAAAATACATATGGCTTTTTGTAGGTGTGTGTTTGTTTAAAAAATAAATATTTATTTATTCGTTTATGATATTTTATAGGTACCGGACGAGATATATAAAATGAGTTCGATATATATGGAAATCTTAAATATATTGCTTGAATTCTAAAATACTAATAATTAATATAAAACCATGTTTTCGAGTATTTGTGGACGTAAAATCAATCAATAATGTATGAAATAATAAGTGTAGTTTTGAAATTATTGATATAAGTTGGATTGTCTCATATGGTTGATAATTTCAATTATTAATCATTAGAAAATGAATGATAGTTTTAGGGGCTGTTTGACAGTTGCTGAATGGTTTTGTACAGAATCATTAAGTGGTCAGAATAATTAAGAGGCTCTCATGATATTGTGTAAAATGAAATATAATTGTTTACGATGAAATTAGGGCTCTTGACGGTTAAGGGAGGCCCAAGATACAAAATCATTCAGAGGGTTTTAGAATCATTAAGAGACATTTTTTTTGTCAAACAAGATTCACCTCTTAATGATTCAGAGATTACTTCTTAATGGAACTATTAAGAGGTAAACAAATAACCCCTTAGATTTTGATGCTAGATAAAAAAAAACTTACTCAAAACAATAAAAAATACTATAAAATGAACGACAAATTAAAAAATATATATATATATATATATTTTTTGTTTACTGTCTTTTTCTGAACAACTACTATATACAATAAAAATTTAGGCCCATGTTTTTTGTGGACCTTGGGTGTGTGCCCGACCCTCCCTCCCCTAGGGACAGCCCTGGCAACATAGAGGATCAAACGAGAACATGGTCAAAATAAAAGAATATGAGAACAGTTAAATCACATGTGATTAGGGAAAACGGTCAACACATGCATGGATGACTTGGCCCACGACCTATGTCATGTGTAACCACATGTGATTTTACACATGAGTTAGTGTAAAATCACATGTGATTTGACTGTTTTCACATTCTCTTATTTGATCACTCTTCTCATTTGAAAAATATAAATTGTTATATTTTATTTGAGCAAAAGGTCAATTACTATACCGACAACCTCGACAGTACGGAACAACATGTGATGGGGCATTTCAAAGCTGATATAGCAATTGAGGCTAGCGGAAAAGTTTCAAACACACCTCTCGCATGATTCAAACTTCTAAACGTGAGAAACACTTTTCTTCGATCCCCAGTTTTGCTTATTTTCATGAAAAAAAAAACAAGAATTGTTGATTAACATTTAAAAATCAGTGTCAAATTTTCTTTTAAAAATAAATTAATTAGATAAACGGTGATCGAATAATTGATATTTGCTCGTCATGACCCCAGTTTCATTAATGACAAGGCCACGACGTCGGTCAACTAATTAATAATCAAAGACTGAAACAGTTAGTCAAATCTTTGATGAGATCCACACAATACTGTTTCATTAACCAAAGCAGATATTATAATAGAACCTGCATACAAATAAAATCTCTAATAGATTTTTTAAAATTTCTTTAAAATGGAGAATTAGAAATCTAAATTTTTAAAAATACTGTATCTTCAATTCCAATAGGTAATTCATGTAAGAGATTACAACATTGATTATATTATTAAAATATTTTATATATTTAATAATATATTATTTATTTATCATAAACATTTCATTTCAAAAAAATTTATTGGTAAGAATGCAACAAAAATATATTTTTTCCTTTCTACTTTTTCCATTTTAAACAAAAAAACTTGCTGAGAATCAATGAGTAGATATATGATATATATATATATATATATATATATATATATTTTTTTTTTCTTCTCATATATTATAACAAAATACACATAAAATTTTGTAACAGTTCAATAACATACATATATATATATATATATGTATATATATATATGTATATATATAGAGAGAGAGTTTACTTTACAAATCACGTTATTTGTAGAAAATCGTATAAACCTCATTCAACCAATTATAATTTTTTATTTTTTTTATTTTTTTGTACTTGTGAAATGTTGGTTAATCATTTTTATTGTGTAGAGTGTTAATTATGGATATTATTATCCTAATTATATTAATTTTAGAGAAATACATGAAACAGTTTCATTAAAATTTCATAAGTTAATAATGAAATAATTTCATAACCATAAATGAAACAACTTCATAAAAAAATATTATATGAAACAATTTCATAAGATCAAACAATTTCATGAAATTTTTTCATAAGATTAAACAATAAAATCGACGGATGAGAGTTGTTTGCACGATTTGTACAAATATGGGAGGTTTGCATTTGATCAGATCGCTCATCACCAGTTTCATCGCGCTGAACCAAAGTCATCCACCATTCGTTATAGAAATCTGCTATCCGAAAATCACACGTTTTATTCATATTTAATCAATGAAATGTAGACAAATCAAATTTTTATATATTTTAAATTTATTTTATTAAACTTTACATTCTCGCTGCGATAATGTTTATTCATGTCATTAGTGGACACGAAAATTTGAGACAAGTGACCATTCTTTTTGTAATGACTTATGAAACTTTCTACTAAAGGGACAACGAAAGCTGTTATTTTGGAGGCCACAACTGCAAATGATGACATCCTGAACTCCATCGATACAGAAAAGAAAAATTTCCAATCGATCGAGAGAAGTAGTAGTCACTCTAAAAGCGATTTCGAAAGAAAATAGACGTTTGAAAGGCTTTTCAAAGAAATTTAATCGAGAACGGAAATCAAACAACGATGATTGTTAACAGACTTGTAACGTCCCACGTGCCTAAGGATCTCTGCTAAAGATTTTATTTTAGAGGTGTGTAATTTGCAAGTTTCAGTCTGTATTTAGTTTTACTAACAATGAGTGTCTGGATCTGCTTGTGTGCATCTCAACTGGTTCTTTGAACCCTGGAAAACAATCGAAAATATTCCCAATAATCAACCTTGGAGTTGCAAAACTCGAACTTGTGACTTTTTTGATTTATCGACAACGAGTTTCTCTCACATTTTTTAGATTATATTTTTGGTTTAATAATATAATTTTATTAAGATAATAACTAAGTGTTATGTTATAATTCAATAATTATCCTAATTATATTTTAGATTTTATATTTAGAATAAGAATTTTATTTTGAATTTGATTCTATTTATCTACAGTTAGTTACACGAATTCAAACATGGAGCTTAATAAGTTGTATTTATGTACAATTTACTTGTAATATTGAATTTTAAATAATATACATCAATAATCAGTATTTCATACATATAAAATATGTTTAAAATTTTTTATTAAATATTTTATAATACAGTATAATTATATGTTTTAGGAAAATGTTTGAAAACATATGACGTCATATTGAAACATGACGCAAATAATAATGTTTGAATACAATGCACTTCTATAGTTCAAAATTGTAATGTTTTTTTTTCCACAATGGCATTGAATATTATTTAGACCATCTCTGACCCATATATTATTATTTATATTATTTTAATAAAAAATAATATAAAAATAAATTATTCTTTAATTCATTAAAATATATATTTTTATATTAAAATAGAATATTCTAATTAATATTATGTATATTTTAATAAAACCTTTATATTTATATAAATTTTTATTTATTGTAATAATAACTTGGTAAATTACATTATTATACTATTTTAATCAAATTAAATTGTTCATAATTAATTATAAATTAAATTCTCTAAAACAAAAATTCCAATAAATTCCAAGAGTTACATTAAACAAACATMTGAAATAAAAATGCATCAAGGCTGAAAAATCGGTCTATTTTGAASGCTGTTCGGTTTTAAGTCGTCTTCCTTTGCTACTTCTTCAGGATCTGTTGTTAATCCCCTCGTTTATCTTCCTTTTGGTTTGTTGCTTTGTTGCTTTGTTTGCTGTTTATTTTAACAGTATTCCACCAATAAGAGCTACTAATAATAAATAATTGCCTTTTCGCTATTCAAAAAAAAAAAAAAAAAAATTTCGCTGTTCAAAAAATAATAATAATAAATAATTATGAGAGAGAGAAGTAATATTTTATTGAATGTACTAAATATTTTAACAATATAGTTAATATTAAAATTGTTAAATAAAATAGCTGTTGGAGTTGAATGTATCATTTTTAGAATTTTTGACTGTTAATACTTTATCTTAGAGAAAATATAACATAATAACTGGAGATGGTTTAAAACTCCATATTTAAGAGAGATCACATAGAAGACATTGAMATTAAAATTACACTAGAAGGGTATTCACATAATGCAGCAAGATACATTTTGATTTTAATATTTTATTTTATTCTTTATCTTAATAGATGTTATAATATGGTCTTATGTGATTTTGAAAAAACGATGATGTTTTTATTTTTGAATAAAATAATAAATTGAAGATATCATAAAAATTTGATAAAAATATATCAATATTAGTATCAAATTAACAATTTAGGTTCAATAATGAAGTAATTTATATTTGATTTAATAATACAATTTTCTTATAAACAAAAATAAATAATTATCTATTAGAACTCGATAATTATCTTAATTATATTTAGAATTTTTATATTTTAAAGTGAAATGTTTATCCTCTATTTGATTATGTTTATCTGTAGTTAGTTACACAAATTCAAACATAAAACTTTAATAAATGTACTTATGCATAATTTACTTATAATCTTAAATTTTAAGTAATATGCATCAATATACAGTACTTCATACATAAAAAATAATTTTTAAATTTTTTTTATCAAATTAATTATAATACAGTATAGATATTTATTTTATTAAATATATTAAGTATTTTAAAAATATAATTAATRATAGAATTGTTAAAATACAGCCACCACATTTCCTTTTTGAATTGATATCTCATTATAAATCCGGGAGAAAGTGGGATTCTTTATTGTTATCTTTTAGCAGAAAATCATCAAACGAATCTTTCGGAAAACAAAAGTTAAGTATGGAATTGGCCACCATCGCACTTTGTTTATAGTGTTGTTGTCTCCGTCTCGCGATTCTTGGCAACCACGCTAGTTTTCAAGAAACCAACTTTGACTTCCTCCCCCTAAAAAACGACTATAAAACCCACTCAATAAACCCTCATCACTCCTATTTAGAGTTGGTGAGTGGTGACGCCAATAAAATTGAGAAACAAATAGCACACATTTGCAACACAAAACCATGAACAATCATAACAATGGTTCGAGTTTTGGTATGTCTTACGATTCTGTGATGAACCAATTCTGGATGAACCCAATTTTCTTACATGGTTTTGTTGCTTCCATACAATTTGTGTTCTTGCTTCTCATATTGATTTCTTGGCTATGTAGAAGATTCAAGATTGATCCAATTGTGGTTTCAAAACAGGGTTTTGGGTATTCGTTATACAAACAAACTCTGTTTTCATGTCTTGTTCTTTCACTCTTCAATCTTGTTTTGTGTTTCTTGAATAATTTCTATTGGTACAGAAATGGCTGGACCGATGAAAAGATTGTGACCCTTTTGTRTGCTGTTCTTGGAACACTTACTTGGGTTCTTGTTTCTGTTTATCTTCACACACTTGATTCGAATTCGTCGACTTTGAAGTACCCATTGGTCTTAAGGATTTGGTGGGTGTTTTTCTTTTCGGTTTCTTGTTACTCCCTTATGGTGGATTATKTTTACTACAAAAAGACCCATGATTCACTTTCTATGTTCTTTGTGTCTGATTCTGTGTCTAGTTTCATGGGTTTGTTTCTTTGTTTTGTGGGGTTATTCCATAAGACCCATGAAGAAGCTCGGAATCATAATCTTGAAGAACCCCTTTTGAATTCTAGTGGGTCTAGAGCTAGGGGTGAGATAGCATCAACTTATGAAAATGCAAGTTTCTTTAGCTTGCTGACATTTTCTTGGATGAGTTCTGTAATTGCAAAAGGGAACAAAAAGCCATTAGATCTTGAGGATGTGCCGCAGCTCGCGGATATCGATAGCGTGAGAGGAGTTTTTCCCGTTTTGAGAGAGAAAGTTGAGTCMTTTAGTAATGAGAACAATCAAATMACTACTTTCGGGCTCACGAAAGCTTTGTTCTACATCGTGTGGAAGGAAGTGGTGATCACAGGATTTCTGGGGTTGGCATCTTCGTTATGTGGTTTTGTTGGTCCATACCTCATAGACGCGTTTGTTCAGTAYTTGAACGGTCGCAGAGATTTTGATAACCAAGGTCTTGTTTTGGTGGCTGCATTCACCATTTCGAAAATTGTTGGGTGTTTCACWMAAAGACATTGGTATTTTAAGCTCCAACAAGCGGGGATTAGAGCCAGGTCTGCTATCGTTGCTATGATTTACCAGAAGGGTTTAACCATTTCCGGCCAGTCGAAGCTAGGGAACTCGAGTGGTGAGATCATTAACTTCATGGCCGTTGATGCTGAAAGAGTTGRMGATTATGCTTGGTATATGCATGATTTTTGGCTCGTGTTTGTCCAAGTAGGCGTGGCGTTAGCACTTCTATATCGGAATCTTGGGCTTGCAGCAGTTGCTTCGTTAGTCGCTACGATTTTGGTTTTGTTAGCCAATCTTCCACTTGGGAATTTACAAGAAAAGCTTCAAGATGACTTGATGAAATCTAAGGATAAAAGGATGAAAGCAACATCCGAAATCTTGAGAAACATGAGGATTCTTAAGCTGCAGGGTTGGGAGATGAAGTTTTTGTYGAAAATTATCAAGCTCCGCGATGAAGAGGAAGGTGCACTGAAAAAATWCATGTACACCTTGTCCATGACCTCTTTTTTGTTCTGGGGTGCCCCGATTGTTGTGGCCGTGGTCACTTTCGCTACATGTTTGTTTGCCGGCATCCCTCTTGAATCAGGAAAGGTACTTTCCGCACTGGCAACGTTTAAAATACTTCAAGAGCCGATTTACAATCTTCCAGACTCGATATCAGTGTTTTTCCAAACAAAAGTCTCACTTGAGCGCATAGCCACATTCCTTCGTCTCAACGACATAGATTCTAATGCTATAGATAAGGTTCCACGAGGTGGCTCTGATACGGCTATAGAGATAATCAATGGGAATTTCTCTTGGGATGTAACTTCTCCTAARCCGACACTAAACGACATCAACATTCGAGTGAATCATGGGATGAGAGTTGCTGTTTGTGGCACTGTTGGATCAGGAAAGTCGAGCTTACTTTCTTGTATCCTRGGAGAAGTTTCCAAGATTTCCGGAAGTGTGAAAGTAGCAGGAACAAAGGCTTATGTAGCTCAATCGCCATGGATACAGAGTGGAAARATCGAAGATAATATCTTGTTTGGTAGGGAGATGGACAGAGAAAGATACGAGAAAGTTCTCGAGGCATGTTCTTTGAAGAMAGATCTTGAAATTCTGTCGTTCGGTGATCAGACAGTTATTGGTGAGAGGGGAATCAACTTGAGTGGTGGTCAGAAGCAAAGAATACAGATTGCACGGGCTCTTTATCAAGATGCCGATATATATCTTTTTGATGATCCATTCAGCGCGGTTGATGCTCATACGGGAAGTCATCTTTTTAAAGTAAGTGATCTGATTTTGCTCCTTTAGAGTCTATCTAACACTATCAATGCTTCAAAGAAAATCTTGAATGTGGCTTCAATTAAYGGTCGGTTCTCTGTTTTTCTATTACAGGAATGCATGTTGCAGTTCCTTGTTTCGAAGACGGTGATTTACATCACACATCAAGTAGAGTTCTTACCTGCTGCAGATCTCATCCTGGTGAGCTATAGCGCTGTTGGTTGGTTTTCCATTAAATCTTGTATGGATAAAACTGTTTGTGTGGAACACTCTAGATAGGGAGCATGCTTTTTAATTGGGAGAGCAGGTTTGGAGAAAACTTGATTTTCTGCATTAAGCTTTCCCTAGAAGCTTACTGAATAAGCCATTTTCTATATCATTAAGTCACTATTAGACAGTCATATATAGTATACCGAATAAGTTGCGAGCCCCATTAAGCTCATTAAGCTGCTTCAAAACGGTCCCTAAGTCAGTGTAAAGATTAGGTTGTGCATGGATTAAGCTAAACTATTGTTTGTTTGTTGTGCTGAATATATTGTCTGAATGATATGACAATCAGGTTTTGAGAGATGGAAGGATTACACAAGCCGGAAGGTACAACGACATCCTCAATTCCGGAAGTGACTTTATGGAACTTGTAGGTGCACACAAAGAAGCTTTATCAGCGATTGATTCCATAGGGACAAATGTGGAGGAAAGAATAGCGAGTTCTAAAGAGAATACAAACGATAACCAAAATGGTAAAACAGACGATATTTCAAGTACCAAAGCGCAGTTGGTTCAAGAAGAAGAACGAGAAAAAGGAAGAGTGGGTTTTTCAGTCTACTGGAAATACGTAACTACTGCTTTCGGAGGGGCTCTTGCACCATTCATAATATTGGCACAAATTGTCTTCCAAATACTTCAAATCGGAAGCAMTTACTGGATGGCATGGGCATCTCCGGTGTCGGCAAGTGATCCAGCCCCGGTTACAGGCTCGACCCTCATCATCGTTTATGTAGCTTTAGCSGTTGGATGTGCATTGTGCATACTTACAAGAGGCTTGCTTCTTGCAACTGTYGCATATAAGGCTGCTACTATTCTCTTCCACAGGATGCACTTGTCTATTTTCCGTTCACCCATGTCTTTCTTCGACTCTACTCCGAGYGGGAGAATACTAAATAGGGTATACTAACGTCCCTCTCTTTTCATGCCTATGCATTTTACAATATCGGTATTCCTGTTCATTTATCAAAAAGATTTCTTGATAGGCATCTGCATTACAATTTTAGGCGCCCTGTAAAATCAATTTTGTTGCAGTGCTGTTAGGACATTTAGACGTATTTGGCATCTTATCAAGCAGATTTTGTTGTTGCGTATGGTGTTCATTTCTAACAAAGATTTCTTGATAGGCATCTACGGACCAAAGTGCAGTCGACATGCAAATTCCTTACCAAGTTGGATCGTTTGTATTCGCTATCATTCAACTTCTCGGGATCGTTGCAGTTATGTCGCAGGCTGCTTGGCAGGTGATCATTTTGTTTGTTCCCGTCGGTGGAATGTGCATCTGGTTACAGCAATATTACTTGCCTTCKGCAAGAGAAATGGCACGGCTAGCTGGAGTTTGTAAAGGTCCAGTGATCCAGAATTTTTCTGAAACAATATCTGGATCGACGACCATTAGGAGCTTTGATCAAGAAGGGAGATTCCAGGACGCAAATTTGAAACTGAACGATGATTTTTCGAGGCCGAAGTTCCACGGTGCTGCTGCCAAGGAATGGTTAGTCATACGTTTGGACATGCTGTCTTCTGTTACATTTGCGGCTTTTCTAATTTTCTTGATTACGATCCCGGAAGGAACTATTGATCCAAGTAAGTTGTTCTTTCTTTTTATGTACTGCATTTACCACATTATAACAAAATTTGGTTCTTAGGATGTCACCAATTTCAAAGACTGCTTTATAAGACTCAATTTATAGGACTAAAAAAAAATAAAGGGTCATATTTAAAGGCGTTGTAATAAGTTTATATAGGACGCTTTTGGGCGTCCTAACAAGTTCCTTATGACATTTTTAATACAAAGCGTCACATTAGCAATTTTATAGGAAACTTTTGAGAGAGTGTCCTATAAACCCATGTTTTTATAAGGCACTTGTTTTTGCAAGACACTTTTTCCAATATCATCCTATAAAATTGTTAATGTGACGCTTTAATTTGTATTAGAAGTGTTCTAAAAAACTTGTTAAGACGCCGATAAACGTTTTATAAACTTATTACAATGCCTTAAGATAAGATGCTTTATTTTTTGGTCCTATAGATCGTCTTACGGTCCATTAGAACGCTTATAAATTGGTGGCGTCCTGTAAACCCAATTTTGTTGTAGCGAGCTAAGAATAGATGGCTGACAGTCCTCTCATTCTATATCAAGGTATYGCGGGCTTGGCTGCTACTTACGGGCTTACTTTGAACACGTTAAATGGAYGGGTTGTATGGACTCTTACCAACCTCGAGAACAAAATTATTTCGGTTGAAAGAATATTTCAATATTCTTCYATCCCCAGCGAACCTCCTCTCATTATAGAATCAAATAGGCCTAATGATCAATGGCCATCACAGGGAGAAGTCGATATCCGTCATCTACAGGTACTTGAATCATATTATTTTCTTGCAWAATGMTCTTATACAACTCAAATTCGGTAGCTTTATTGAACATAACGATTTCTTTAAAAAAGGTCCGGTATGCTCCACATATGCCACTTGTGTTGCGAGGACTTACGTGCACTTTCAGTGGGGGAAAGAAAACTGGAATYGTTGGAAGAACTGGTAGTGGGAAGTCGACTCTTATACAAACACTCTTCCGCCTTGTGGAGCCAGCGGCCGGACAGWTTCTGATAGATGGAATTAACATATCCACGATTGGACTTCATGATCTGCGTTCAAAATTGAGCATAATTCCTCAAGATCCAACCATGTTTGAAGGAACTATTCGAAGCAACCTAGATCCCCTTGAAGAGTATACTGACGATAAGATTTGGGAGGTAGCTAAATCACATAATATGGTTTCAATGCTTAAGCATCATATGGTCCTATAGGGTTTAGGGGAAACCACAAAAAATGAAAAACTAAGGAGCACCCTGATAACCATTCATCTGGACGGTATGTTCATGTGCATACCATCCAGATGAATATTTACTAGGTTCTTCCTCAGTTTTTCATTTTTCTGGGGGTTTTCCCTACTCTTGTCCTATAATCTAACAATATTTGTTATTTCAGGCTCTTGATAAATGCCAGCTTGGAGATGAAGTGAGAAACAAGGAAAGGAAGCTCGACTCAACAGGTTTTTTGCATCTCCATTTCTAGAAYTCAAATTCTTGTTCATAGTCTTTAYGTTGAGCGTTTTTATTATATTTACTAATTAGTTTMATATAAWACGTTACAGTTACCGAGAATGGAGAAAACTGGAGTGTGGGTCAACGGCAGCTGGTGTGTCTCGGGCGTGTGCTACTCAAGAAAACCAAAGTCTTAGTACTTGATGAGGCTACTGCATCAGTCGACACAGCAACTGATGGCATGATTCAGCAAACGCTTGCACAACACTTTAGCGACTCTACTGTGATAATGATCGCCCATCGGATCACCTCTGTGCTTGATAGCGACATGGTTTTGGTTTTAGAACAAGGTTTGTTAGGCAACTTTTCTTTGGAATAATGTCCCAGGCTAGACTAATCCCGGCAAATTGTGACCGGAAGAAATCAGCCCTGATAAAGTCAATGGCCACAATTTTGTGTACGCCTGGAATAGAACCCTGGGTAGATGGGATATTCCATCACATCCCCCAGGCCCTCAACCACTACGCCACAACCCTTGTGGTTTTGTTAAGCAACTTTCTTGGCCCTGATATGATATCCGTCGGCTTGGATTCTGAATCTGGATCTCTGTTTCCTCCATATGCAGGTTTGATTGATGAATATGATTCTCCAAAGAAGTTGCTGGAAGATAGATCGTCTTCATTTGCAAAGCTTGTTGCTGAGTATAGCATGAGATCGAATTCCAGTTTTGAAACTTAGCTGCAACAATCTATCTAGTTTCTTCCTGTAAGCTGTCTAAAATTACTTAAGAGCGTGCTTAAAATCAAAGATGACTTTTTCGGTCATATATTTCATACCCTTTTTAGGTCGACGTTTTAGATTCGTGAATCATCCTAGAATATTGTTGGCCTGTGATGATTTGTTTGGTTGAATTATGTGAAAAAAAGGATTAAGCAAATTCCTTTTTCATTCCATTGGACGAATATATATACATGGGCATACTGGGAAAAAATGAAAAACTAATATATATACATGGGCATACCATCCAGGGTGTTTCCCAGTTTTTCATTTCTTTTGCGAGGTTCCCTGAATCTGATCCTATATATATACATAGAGAGAGAGAGAGTGTGTGTGTGTGTGAGGTTCGGGGGAAACCCCCAAAAATAAAAAGTTGAGTAACACTCTAATAACCATTGATCTGTATGGTACGTACAAGTGCATACATGTAATTGAAGATGTTTCCTGGTTTCTATGCACATGTGCATACTGGACAAATTACTAGTATGCACATGTGCATACCATGAAAATGAATGGTTATTAGAGTGTTCCTCAGTTTTTCAATTTTTTGCAGTTTCCTCGAACCTGACCGGCTGACCCTATATATATACACACATATGCACACTTATCTGGATATAATGGTCACCCAGCCAGGTCTTGAAGGATGGAAGAATTACACAAGCTGGAAAATACAACGACATTCTCAACTCAGGAAGCGACTTTACACAACTTGTTGGTGCACACAGAGAAGCTTTATTGAAAATAGATTCAGCCGCGAAGAATTCAGAGTCTGATATATCGTGTGTAGTTGAGAACCAGAGAACTTTCCAAAAAAATATCCAAGAAGAGGTTATAAACGGTCAAAACAGTAAACCAGAGGGGAAGAAAAGGCAGCTTGTGGAACAAGAAGAAAGACAAAAAGGTAAAGTAGGCTCGTTAGCTTACTGGAAATACATTACAACTGCTTACGGAGGTGCACTCGCACTTTTGGTATTATTAGCACAAATTCTATTTGAGCTACTTCAAATCTCGGGCAATTACTGGATGGCGTTGGCATCTCCCGCGTCAGAAAGTAGCGCAACTCGTGTTGGAGGGTCTAAACTCATTATCGTTTATGTGGGTTTTGGAATCGGATGTTCTTTATGTATACTAGCGAGAGCGATGCTTGTTATGAAAGCCGGGTATGAGACAGCCAACCAACTGTTCTACAAGATGCATTTTTGTATTTTTCGTGCCCCCATGTCGTTCTTTGATGCCAATCCATCTGGACGAGTTCTCARCAGAGTAAGTGAACACTTATTTTGTGTAATTGATCGTAGTTAGGAACAGTTTTAGAAGGAAAGTTTTACGAACTCCTTTTGCAGGTATCTACGGACCAAAGTCTAGTGGACTTCACGATACCAAATACAATCATCCTATTTGTCGCTGTGGTCATACAACTTTTTGGCATTGTTGCAGTTATGTCACTTGCTGCTTGGCCGGTCTTCCTTCTGTTCTTTCCCATGGTTGTAATATCCATTCGTTTACAGGTAATCATGATCTATCCTTCCTTCCAAATAGTCATCTAATTCATAGTCCACATTCGTTGTAATCAATCGGGCTTAGACGTTTGTTTCAACAATTTGATTATATATTGTAAACAACTTCTGTTTTATATATATATATATATATATATATTGTGTATATATATATATATAGGGTTGGGTTTACGTGAGGCCTGCCTGTTTTTGTGAGACCCGTGACCGCATTTCTACATTTGAAACTTCACATCAAAACATTGTGAAGGTAAAAAAAATTCGAACCTTCACAACGTTTTACTGTGAAGTTTAAGTGTAAAAAGGTGGTCTCACGTGTCTATGGAAACAGGATGGTCTCAATATGATCCCAAGTCTCCCTCTTTCTATATATACATATATAGGGTCAAGTTTAGGGGAAAACCGCAAAAAATGAAAAACTGAGGAACACCCTAGTAATCGTTCATCTTACATGTGCATTTTGCTGTGAAGGTTCGACTTTTTTAAACCTTCACATTGTTTTTGCTGTGAAGTTTCAAGTGTAAAAATGTGGTCTCACGGGTCTCATGAAAACAACTTGGTCTCACGTGAACCCAACCCTATACATACATA